AGAAAAGATGTCCAGTTTTTTCCAGCACCACTTGTTGAAAAGACTCTTTTCTTTGTGTTTTTATCAAAAAACATTTGATGCATGTGTAAGTGATTTCTGGACTCTTTTTCTGTGTCATCAATCAATATGTCCAGCTTGTCTCCAGTGATATCACTTACTTCTGCTCCCCGAAAGGGAAAAGTGCTACTTCATTAGGGCCTCACTTATAGTCTCTTGGTCAGAGGAGTCACAGAGCTTACACTGAAGGGGCCTGAACATACACATCGCCTCTCAATGGAAAAGTGTCACAAAATTTGCAGCCTGTTTAAGAGTGAGATTTGTGGTGGTATTAGTACAGTTAGAAACAAAGGAGCTGAGTGAGTCACTCCTTCCCTCCGTCTAACCCTCAACAGAATCCAACTGTCTTCCCTGGCTCCATTATCCTAAGAGAGATACAAAATAAAATAACAAAAGCCTAGGAGATCACCATGCCCAGCAAGGGAGAACCTGGATTATTATTGGCTCAACTGTAACAGTCTGATTTACCTACAATAAAAGTCACCCTCTGTAGCGTACAGTTCTGTAAGTTTTGACAGACATCTTCAGTCTGCAGTCACTGCATGGTTGAGGCACAGAATACTTCTGCCACTCAAATTCTTCATCCTTCCTTTTTGTCCTCACACTTCTATCCCTACCCAAGATCTCAGCAAGCCCTGATGCTTTCTCCTCCTCTGGTTTTGCTTTGACAAACCATAAAATGTACGGAATAACCCAATGTGTAGACTCTTGAACCTGGCTCTTTTCCATAGCATAATGCATTTGAGAGTCACCTGGGTCATCCTGGGTTGGGAGTTTGTTCCCTCTCATTGCTGAGCAGTATTCCACTCCAGGGATGTAGCACAGTGTGTTTATCCATGCAACAGTTGACGAGCATTTGGGATGTTAGCAATGTGGGAGGATTATTCAAGCAACCATAAATACTGTGTACAGACTTTTGTGTGAACTGAAGATGTCACTTCTTTTGGCCAAATGTCCAGGAAGGGGATTACTGGGTTGTGTGGCTTGTACCTGTTAGCTTTATAAGAAGCTACCTACCTGCTCTACCCATGGCTGGACCATTTTGTGTCCCCATCTACAAGTGGGAGTGTCGTTTGTTACTCATCTTTACCAGAACATGGTAGTTATTGTTCTTTGCTTATTTGTTCTAGTTTAGCCCTTCTAATGGGCATATAAGTGATGTCATATCCTGATTTTAATTTCCTTGATGACCAGCCATTCTGAGGATCTTTCATGTGAGAATCTTTCGTATTTCCTGCCATTATATTTTCTTTTATAAAATAATTATTTGATCCCTGTTATCCCCATATTTTGGTTTCGTTGTTTTCCTGTTATTGAATTTTGAATGTTCCTTGTAAATTTTGAATAAAAGTCCCTTATTGGGTACAGGGCAGCTTTTGCAGATATTGCCTCTCAATCTGTGACCAGTTTTCATTTTCTTAGGAGGTGCTCATCATACAGAAGTATTCTTATTTTGATAAAGTCAGATTTATCCATCTTTTTTCTTTTATGCATTGTCTCCTTGGTGTTGTATATGAGAAATTTTGGCCTAATCCAATGTCACAAATATTTGTTTCCCAGAGATTTTTATAATTATCGGTTTGTGTTTAAGCCCCCAATCCATTTTGAGTTAGATTTCATATGTGGTAAGTAGTATGAGGTATAGATGCAGATCTCTCCCTCCCTTTTTTCTTTTGGCATATTAATATCCAGTTCTTCTAGCATCATCTGTTGGAAACCTTACCTTTGTGCTTTTATTTACAACTAGCTCATATGTGTGTGAGAAATTTCTGGCCTCTATTCTGTGTCATTGATCAATGTATCCATATGTTTTCCAGTAACACCCTGTTTTAATTACCATGGGTCTATACCCTTTAAATTATGTAATGAGATTTGTCCAATTTTTTTCAAAATTGTTTTGGATACTGTGATTACTTTACTTTCCCACAGAAACTTTAAAATCACCTTCTCAGTTCTTAAAAAACTATCCAGCTGCAGTTTTGATTGGGGTTGCATTTGCTGCACAGATCAGTGGGGAGAACGATCCCCTTTGCTGTTGTCTTCCAATTCATTAATATGCTAGGACTCTCCATCCACCCAGGGCTTTGATTTCTTTCATCAGTGCTTTGTAGTTTTCAGAATACAGATCTCGCACAGTGTTAAGTTCATATCTATTTCATGTTTTCATTACTACTTTAAATACCACTGATTTTTACGTTTTAATTTCCAATTATTCATTGCTTGTGCTTGGAAATATAATTGACTTTTACATTTTGATCTGATGTCTGGTGATCTTACTAACCTTAGTTCTAGAAGCTTTTATTGTGTTGGTGCTCAGGAATTTTCTACAGAGATAATAATACTGTCTATGACGGGAGAGCAGCTTTTCCCCTCTTTGGTCTATGGGCCTTTTATTTCTTTTTCTTGCATTACTACACCAATTTGTACTTCCAGAAAAATAATAGTGAGGAAAGCATATTGGCCTTGTCTCTGATCTTAGGAGGACTGTATTCAACCTCTTATCTTACATAGGATGTTAGAGGCAGATGCTTTATAGATGGCCTTTACCAAGTTAATAAGATTCCTTTCAATTCCTACTTTGCTAAGAGGTTGTTTTGTTTTGTTCTGTTCTGTTTTGTCTCATTTTCATTGCATAGTTCAGGCTGGGCTTGAACTCACTGTATAGCCCAGGCAGGCCTCAAACTCCTGGCAATTTGCCTAGCTCTGCCTCAGACTTCTGGGATTACAGTCATGCACCACCACACCCAGCTAACAGAGGTTTCTGTTTTGTTTTGTTTTATTAGAATTGGATGTTAAAATATATCAAATGCTTTTTCTAAACCTGCTAATATAATCATTTTTGTTTTACTGTATTCCATTGATATGTCTTACCTTGATTGATATTCAAATGTTGGAACAGCTTTGCATTTATAAGATAAATCCAGCCTGATCAGGATAGATTATGATTTTTACATATTGTGAAATCTGATATTCTAATATTTTGTTGATTTTTGACAAGGAACATAAATCCATGATTTTTAATTTTTTCTTGACTTTTGGTATCAGTAATACTTTAAATTGATTTAATTATTCTTCAAATGCTTGGTGGAATTCTCCAGTGAAATATTCTTCATACTCTTTGTTCTTCTGTGTATAAAGCATCTGTTTTGTGAGTCTGCAACTCCCAAAGCCTCTCTCTTATGTGACCACACTCAACAGGTGTTGAGGATGTCACTTGAATATTCCTCACCTACTTACATGGAAGCTACTGTCTGTCTGTCACTGTCTGTCTGTCTATCTCTCTCTCTGTCCATCTTTCCCTGTATAGTATTTCAGACTACAGCTGCCATTCAACTTTAGCTCTCTGTGGACTCCTACAAAGTTTTGATTTTGTTGTTTTTCAGCTTTTTCTTGGTTTTGGTAGACACATTGTTCTGTCCAACTTTCTAGATCCCAGGTGCAGCTATCCCTGTGACAATTTTTAACACACATCTTACCTGGCTGCTAAAAGGGAGGTGTTCTGGGTTTCTTGGTGACTTGTGGTAGGAGGATCTAGGGAAATGGTGAACCTACAGCACGCATGCCACAACAGGCTGTTTGTATCGTTGCAAGCTCTAAAAGGTTCTCCATCACTAGCCTAGGGAATTCCAAGGCCATGGTCAGCAGCAAATGGAAAGAGAGCCTGGCTTGGGAGAGAAGCCTGGATGAATGAATGAAGAATTTTCAGGTTTTTCATCTTGGCCTAATGAGATGCGGGCATGAGGAAAGAAGCTGTGGGAAATGTACTTTTACACAGGACCACATTCTGACCATGTGGTGAGAGACATTCATCTTTCTTTCTCTGCCTGGATCTGAAGGATCCTTTGGGCTTCCATGTCTTACTTTTACAACAAGCACTAAAAGAGCTAGGACTGTCCCCTTTGGCCCTCCAAAGTCCAACGATCCAGCCAGAGTCTAGTCGTATTTATCCAGGCCATCTTCCTGGAGAGCTAATCCTGTCACACCATCACCTTTTCCAGAAAGCTTTCAATCCCCCGTTGTCCACCATGTACAACACTGGCCATTGTGTTAATTCCCAAGGGGACCCATCCACCTTTCAACCCTTTTCCCCCACATCCCCGACCAGCCGTACTGATCATTTCCCGCCCTCACCAGGTTCCTTGCTGATACCATGCTTTCTCTACTGTTTCCAGCCAAGAGTGCCATTCTCAGGCTTGGTACCCTGCTGAGGTTGAGCCCTTCTTCCAACACAGCCTACATGAAGCCCTCTCACCACTCCCAGCAAAGGCAGCCTCTCTGCCCTGTGCCTTTGCTGCCCTGATCACCATTATGGTATCATCTCCCCTAGGACACACATCCCTTGAAGGCAGGTGTATCATTGGATTCTGTAGCTGTTCAGTGAAAGACAGAGAGGAACAGTGAAAAAGCCAAAAATAGTTGCCCTTATTGACAAAGAGGAATTTATCTTCCGGATGCATGAACAACAATACCTATAGGAAGGAGGTGACAGCTTTATTTTGCATGTGTCTTTGCAATAGAGAATAATTTAGCTTGAAATAGTTGTGTGTAATGGCAGGGAGTGTGTGTCAGTGGGGGGTGATTTTTAGATGAATCTTGGTCTTGATCTCAACTAGTGGGTAATTGAAAAAGGAATCAGGGAAAGGTTTTGCTTGCTTTTCATCTTGCATCCATGGGAAAGACTCATCTGTGGAATGAGAAGATGATCTAGTCCAGTTTTCTGCCTGTGCCTTAAGGAATTCTCCAACAGAAAATGAGAAAGAGCCCAATTCTCTTTCTTTGTAATGCCACTATTAGCTTCCAAAAACATTCATCACACTCCCCTGTTCTCAGTCTTGTAATTGCCTGTGAATCGTGAGTGGCAGCTGAGGCTTTCTCTTTCATCTCTCCTCGCCACGGTGCCTCCTGCCATTTGTTCTGCTGTCTTCTGCGACCCCTTGGAACAGTGCCCACCGCACCGCCACAGAACGTGCAGGCGGAAGCTGTGAACTCCACCACCGTCCAGTTCCTATGGAACCCGCCGCCCCAGCAGTTCGTCAACGGCATCAACCAGGGATATAAGGTAACTACCAGCCTGGCTTGGAGCCTCAGGGTGACTCTTTTGTTCTGTGGTCGTGGTCGTGCCAGAGATGCCGTCCTTCCCACTCCATTAGGAACGCCAGGTATCAAATGCAGAGTGTTATGACCTTGGTAGGGTCGCCATTTATCCAGGGTCTTACCATCAGCTCTCCTGGCTCAGAAACTCAAATGACAAGTTATCAAGACAATGGATCGTGCATACATAAGAGAGCAGTGTCTTATGAGAAAGGCCATTCATTCTCAGTGGCCAGTGGGAGAGCTGTCTGGGTTGATTGGAGTCAGCATGTGTCTAAGCCACTTCTTGCTGAAAGAGAGTCCCCTGAGCATAGCGCAGGCTCCAAGCAGAGGGCAGGCAGTTATGTCCGGGAAGGAGCTTCACTCCTCCCGCTCTCTGCTTTAGGGGGAATTCTGTTTAAAGCAGAGAACAGTTGGTTCAGGGTTTCTGCCCAAACCAAATTGAAACACAAATTCCCACTGTCCACCTTCACCAGAATCTGTTTCATAAATGAGATCAGGTGCAATTTGAAAAGCACAACTTAACTTTCACTTCAGTCCCCTTCCCCTGGTTAGCCTGGGAGCCACCCTCAGGGTGGGTGCAACATACTCATATTCCCTCTGGGCCAGGGCACACAGGGAGACCTTTACACAGAAGGAATTCCATCCTCTGCTTGAATCGCGGGATTTCAGCTTCAGAGTAGATCATTTCCCAGACACATGGTTCATTTTATCTTCTCATTTGGTTCAACTTACTAAAACACTTATTTGCGTCCTAGAAAGGTAGACATATCTAAACACTGTTCCTGTCTTTCCTTTTCCCTCAGAAGTATCTGAAGTCAGAAGCTTTTCTGAAAGCAAGTCATTCTGATCAGCCCAGGTGCTTCAGCCCTCTTGAGTCTCCTGCCAGGTCTGACTGGCGAGACAGCGGCACTCATTTGAGGTTGGGGAGGGCTGGGCAGTCATTGTGATCTATGGACGCGAGGCGGGCCCCGCAGCCGGTAGCTTTCAGAGCTAATTGGTCTGAGAGATGTTTGGTGTCAAAGAAATGAAAACTCGCACAGGCTCCTAATGTTGCCAAAACATGAAGCAGCTTTCCTTATAATATGCATATATAGTCTTTCTTTAAAATTGTAACCAGTGTCCTCAATTCCTTCTCAGGAACCTAATGCAATATAAATTATAAATGATTGATTTGACTGAATTAACAGACAGTGTCATCACTGTCCCTTCTGGTTAAGAAACACAGACACTCAATACAAGCTGACATGAAGAGAGGTTGGTGAAGGTTTGCAGGAGAGCCCATTACTCCAAAAAGGAGTTAAAGTCATTACTTTATTTATATGTATGTGCTTAAATATATATATGTGCATGTTTATATTCACATACATTTGTGTATAATCATCTGTGAGAGATCTTTACAACTGCATTTTTATGAAGTACAAGATACAGGATTTATGGATTTAATTGTGACTGTGCTTTCTTTAAAGACATATTTACTACAAAATAAAATTGTGATCGAGACTTGAGTGAGCGAGCACACTTTACAAGGGTCTCTCTTCAATCCATCCCCTCTCAGCTTCTAGCATGGCCAGCGGACGTCCCCGAGGCAGTCACTGTGGTCACCATTGCCCCAGATTTCCACGGAATCCACCACGGGTACATCACGAACCTGAAGAAGTTCACTGCTTACTTCACCTCCGTCCTATGCTTCACCACGCCGGGGGATGGGCCCCCGAGCACCCCGCAGCTCGTGTGGACTCACGAGGACAGTGAGTACCGCTCTCCCTGGCCTCCTCCAAGCCCCTGCGCCCTGAGTTGGGGGTCGAGCATGTGGCCCCGCCACGTCTAGCACTGGGCCAGGCCAGAAACTCGGTGAGGAAGCCAGCATCTCAGAGCGCTTGCCGTCCACTCACTGCCCCGCAGGGTCAGTCACTATGAGGGGCTATCACACCTGAGGGACAGTGGCCCATGGAAGACAGAAGGGAGAGCTGGGCCAGAGGAAGCAGCTCTGGGACAGAGATGGGGGACTTGTCCTGCCTGGGAGCTGCTCCTGTGGCCTCACCAAGCCCAGATGTCGACTTCCAGTCCTCTTACCTCCTTCCTTGCTCACCTTTACTGCTCCCCACCCCGCCCGCTGCCCCTACCGGCACATCACAGCCCGGCACCTCTGAGCCCCTTGCCTTTGACTTTGCATGGTCTCCATCTGGTCTGTTGGAAACTGCTGCTTCTTCACTCGCGGGCCAACTGACCTGATGAGAAAACAGTGGCTAGTGACTCCTTCCCAGGAAAAGCCAATTGCAGCTACACACAAAGATAATAGACAGAAAGGCTAAGCACACTTGTAATTTTTTTAAAAAATGAAAAGCATTCTAATGCTCCAGATGGGAAGGACTGGAAAAAAGTTACAGAATGACAGGATAATTAATATTTTATGGCTATTTAAAAAGTAAAACTTTAAAAATCAATAATTTGGGGGGATTAATGGTCATGATATAAAGTTAAGTTTTTAAAAAGTCTACAAAACCATATGAGATCTAAATTTTATCAACATATGTTTGTATATAATTCTGAGAATTACTGACTCTGTGATATGTTTGTAGATTTTTTTACATTTTCTTTGTGTTTTTCAGTATTTTCTCATGTCTAACACAAGTGCGTACTTCCCTTTATAAGAAGGAGAGATAAGCCAAGGTTATATATGAGTTTTAAGTTCCACAGAGATGCCTTCATCTCTCACCCACTTCCTCCAGCTCTGCGGGTCTAGGTCTGGGTCTGGCTCAGCCACCTGTGCCCCCTCCACATGATGCTGGCCCTAGGTTCCCAGCAGGTGGCGTTGCAGAGGTCAGACCCGCCCAGAACAAGCTGCCTGGCTCCCTTCTGTCCCACCCTGTGTTCTTGTCCTGCTCCTCTCTGCCCAGCCCCTTTTCATGGTCCTGTCTGCTCTTTCTTCCAGTGGTCTGGCCATGGGCATCCTCTCTGACCTTCAGATATGTTCGCATCTGTCTCACCCAGGGTGGGCAGCTCTGACTGGGCTGCCCCATGGAGTTGCCCAGTGAGCTCCTTATTTCGTTTCCACGTAAACTATTGCTTTGACCCCTGACCTCTCATGCCCTCCCACCCCTTAGCAGCTTGGCTTTCACACTGTCACCCTGCTGCAGCCACAGGTCCATGTCAGGAAAAATAGAATAGTTGTTATCCTTTGAGATCACTGACCCTTCCCTCAATATTTAAAAAAAAAAGTTCTGCTGTTGCTATTAATTGATCCTGGGAGCTCTTTTCATACTCTAACTTTAATCTGTCTTCTGCTTTATATTGAACTCAACTTTTTATTGAGAGCTATAGATTCGCATGCCGCTGTAAGAATTAGCACTGAGATGCCCATATATATTTGCCTGGTTCTTTCTGATGCTCGCATTTATAAAACTAGTCTAGCATCACAAACAGGGTTCTGACATTGATACTATTCAGTGGCCTGATTTGGATTTCTCAGCCTTGTTCATCCTCCTCTGTGCGCATGTGCAATTAGTTCTCTACAGTGCGTAGCATGTGAAGGTTTATGTTCCCCCACCAAATCGAAGGGCCTCCATGGTCCCCACCACAGGGGCCCTCAGGGTTCCTCTCCTGTAGCCACACCCACCTTCTGCCCTCTCTTCCTCTCTAATCTACATGCCTTTTGTCTCTCTCCCTGCCTTGTTTACACTGGCTAGAATTCCTTGTACTATGTTGAAAGCAGCCATTCTTGCCTGCTCTCCATCTTGAAGGGAAAACATTTCGCCTTTGACCCCTAAGTAAGATATTTTTGTAGATGTTCTTTGTCAAGCTGAGGTCGATCCCCACTATTACATCCTCAGTTTGTTGAGAGTTTCTGTTGTGAATACATGTTGGATTTCTTCACCTGCTTTTACTGTATCAGTTGATGTGATCATATGGTTTTTCATCTTACTTTGTTGATATGTTGGATTACATTGATTGATTTTGAAATGTTGACGCAGTCTTGTGCTCTTGGAATAAATCCCACTTGGTCACGGTGTATAATTCTTTTTATATGCTGTTGGACTCACTTGATGGATATTTTATGGAGGATTTTGGCATCTAGTTTCAAGAAAGATACTGGTCTGTGGTTTCCTCCCCCGCCCCCCACCCCCATACTGTGTCTGGCTTTAGTATCAAGGCAATTCTGGTCTCATAAAATGTTTGGAAATGGTCTTCTGTTTTCTGAAAGGGTCTGTATCAAACTGGTGTCAGTTCCTTTTTAAATGTTGGATATAATTTTCCAGTGAAACCCTCTGGATCTGGAGAATTTTTTTCTTAGGAGATTTTGGATTATAAATTCAATTTGTTTGGTTATAGAACTTTTCGGGTTGTCCATATCATCTTGGTTGAGTTTTTGTTTGTGTTTTTATTTTGAGACGGGGTCTTGCTATATAGTTCAGACTAGCCTTTGAACTCGCTATGCAGTTCAGGCCTGGAACTCGTAGCAATCCTCCTGCCTCAGCCTCCCAAGTGCTAGGTTTACAGACATGTGCCACAATGCCCAGCTTGGTTGAGTTTTAGTAGTTTGTTGTTCTTTAGAAATTGACCTTCTAAGAATTCGGATTTATGATTATAAAATTATGTGTCAAGTTTCCTTATTGTCTTTTTAATGGGTATAGGGTCTATAGAGATAGTCTTTGTTTCATTCCTGACACTGGAGACCTGTATCTTCTGCTTTTTTAACTTTGTCATTTTTTTCCAGAGGTTCATCAACCCTATTGATTTTTTTAAAAGAACCAGCTTCTTGATTCATTGATTGTCTCTATTATTTTCTATTTCAACATCATTTGTTTCTGGTCTCTATAATTTGCTTCCCTCTTCTTGCTTTGAATTTTTCTCTCCTTTTTCTAATTTCTTGAGAGGAACATTTAGATTACTGTTATGAGCCTTTTCCTCATTCCCAGCATAACTATTCAGTGCTATAAATTTCACTCTCAGTGCTGCTTTAGCTGCATCCCATATTTTGGTGTGCCATATTTTTACTTTCATTTGGTTTTATGTATTCTTTTTTCCTTTGAGACTTCCTCTTTGACCTATGGATTGTTTAGAAGAGTGATAACTAATTTCCATGTATTTGGAGATTTTCCTAGTGTGTTTCTGCTATTGACTTCCAGTCTGACTCCATTATTGGAGAACACACTTTCTCTGGTTTCAGTTCTATTTAACTTGAGGGTTTGGGCCCAGGATGTGGTCTGTCTTGGTGCATGTTCAATGAGTGCTTATAATACGTATATTTTGCTGTGGCATCTGCTTTTCAGCAAGCAAAAGCAATGTCACCCTTTCAGAGTTTTCTAACTGGACCACCTATCTGTTCTTGTGGTTCGACCTGTTTATCTTATTGAAAGAGCAGAGCATCCTTGTAAATATAAAATTGAAGACAGCATTAAAGTTGGGACAGGAAAGAGAAGTCTGAGCTAGGGCTCTGGAGAGACATCTCCTGTGTGTCACCCAAGTCGGCTATTGATTCCTGCACCAGGCCCGCTCTCCAGAGTTCCAACGGGATACAAAGATGTTGGGGAGGGGAAGAAAAGAGAAACTGAATATGAATTTGCCAGCTGGTTCTAGCAGAGCTAGAGGGCAGCATATTTGGGCAAGAAGCCAGGAAGCAGAAACACTGAAAATATAAAAGGAACAAAAAGCTTTCTTTGCTACTCCATCGATCGAAAAAGAACACATCAGTTCAGAAACCCATCAGAATGTCTTTCTGCATGCTCAGGCTGGGGGAGGATGACATGGTCCTGACAGCCATCCTATTTTCTTGTCTGCCATGTGAGGAAAGTGGCGTTTGTCAGTGTTTGAGTTTTTCCTAACATCTTGCAGGTTTCATCCAGGTGAGTGTGGTTTGCAAGACTGTTACCATTTTTTAAAATTCACAAGTTGTGTTAGAAAGCTTGGTCTAAGTACCATTTGGGAACTAGGTATTGAATTCACCTAAAACTCTGCCTCCTGTGCAGACAAGACCAGCAGGGACCAGGGCCAGGTCTGTGAGGCAGCAAAGCTTCCCTGCAGGAATCCGCAGACCCCTCTCCTGCAGGATAGGCAGCTCCCTTGACTTCATGCTCTCTCCCTTGACTTTAAGTTTTTTTAAAAATGCATTTTTATGAGTAAAAAATCTCAATGTGTCTCATCTAGCAGGTTCATGAAGGAGCTGGGTATTCTCTGCCTGGCCAGGGCAGGTTCCCCACCAAGATGTGCACACACCAGTCTTGTTCTTGTCTCTTTGCCAGGCATCTTATTTCCCTCTTCTGTTGCCTTTGAACCACCCTATTTCTGTCTTTTCTATAGGACTCAGTCCCTTACATTTCTCCCAGATTGGGTAGGGAAAGGGTAGGCATGGGGAGCATTGTCTGTGAGGCTTTAGGCTCTGGAGCAAGCAGACCTAAGCAAACCAGCAGCATTTGGTTAGGAAACCCCAGACCAGGGGATGCCTGTGAGATCCACCCAGCACCAGGCATGGTGCACAGTAGGGACCAGCCCTCCAGCCCTCTCCTAAGCATGACCTTTTCCACTGCTCCCCAAGGCCCTGCACAGCTGCTGCTGCTTCTGAGAGAGCCCTTGCTCAGAGGATGCTTACCCCCAGCCAACTCTACTCCTCTGGACCATTGTGCAGCGGGGGCCAACCCTACCAGGATGGGGCAGGAACCCAAAAGGGCTCTAAGCTGAGGAGTGAAGTGCTGTCCAGCCTGCAGGTGTCTCATTCCCAGTCCTACTGAGCTAGATCCATCTGTCCATCTGCTTTGCAGCCAAATGTTCTTAAGTTTAAATCACTAACTCCTGTTTTGGGCTCTTCTCTTTGGTGGCAGTAATCTCATCTTAGAAATGACCATTTCCTCCATAAGATGCTGCTGCTAACTGTCCACTCAACATTTTCGTAGTGCCAAGGGTATGCCAACACCCTCATGTTTTTTTATATTTTATTCTCTCTGTCACCTTACAGAGCCATTTTTATTCTCCCCATTTCACAGATGAGTAAATGAAGGCTTTGGGACCTTAAGTGCTGAGCTAGTGCACAGTGCAGCAAGGTCTGAAACCCAGCACTATCTCCAATGTTAACTTTGTCTCTGCTGCTTACTTGCCCTCCTCGCCTCGGGGCTGCGGTGCAGAGAAGCTCCTGGGAAAAGAGTCATTTTCACCAGTGCTTTTTCAGCCTGTCCCTCTGGAACCCCCGTGGAGAGGAGTAGGGAGTTGGAGTCCGGATCAGGTTGACCAGGTGTTGCCTGTGGCTCAGATATGGGCCCCGGGCCAAGGTTCACTGCTCAAGCTGCCGCAAGGTCCCCTCACAAGCCAGGCCCAAGGCTGAAAATGCATGTTAAGGGGCATGCTATGTAAGCTTTTGCTCTTCAGGATCTAGCTGGCCTGATCTACTTACAGCAGGTGAGTCGTGTATAAACCCCTACCTCCTGTTACTTTAGTTCTCAGTGTAGCTGGGCTGGAGCTGGTCAAAATAATTCATGCAGGGACAGCTGGGACAATTTTAATACCAGTTCCACCATTCCACTTACATTTTCCCTGATGTTTCCTGCAGGTTTCTTCTGGCTCTGGCTCACCACTTTCTTTCCATAGTTAGAACCCACCACAGAAATCTGATCAAAAGAGAAATGGGCTCTGGGGCTAACAGAGCCTCTATTTTTAATTGGCAGAACCAGGAGCTGTGGGCCACCTGAGCTTCACAGAGATCCTGGACACATCTCTCAAGGTCAGCTGGCAGGAGCCTCTGGAGAAGAACGGCATCATTACAGGTGAGTGTCCTGCCTCCCATCATCACAGGTGAGCATCCTGTCTTCCAAAAAGAAAATGATGAGTTTGCCATATCAGAAAGAGGCAGCTGTCATGTCTGGCAACACTGCAGAGGGTGGACCCATGTCCGAGACCTCCTGGGATCAGGGTCATGTCTGCCTGGCCATGCAGTAGTCACAGCAGCCCCAGGACCGGGGCTGCTCAGAGATGGGGGTCATTTCTCTGGGGAGCAGCGTCAGAGTTTGGAGGAAATTGAAGCTCGGAGAGTGTGTGTGACCTTCCATTTATTCTGTACATATGCGCTGGAAGGCTGCAGTGGGCAGGCAGGTTTTCAGATGCAGCCAGTAGGGCAGAGGCCACCGTGCTCTTGGTCCTCAATACAGCGCCACATGTGGTGAGACCAGGATGATGTCCCACCTGGAGAATCCGCATCTCATATTCTTCCCCTCCCCACTGTGCCACTGATGAAAGACTCAGGAAAAAGGAGAGGCAAGCAGAGAGGAGAGAACGACCCGGAAGGGTCCTGAGTGGGGCTTGGCGGGTGGGCTGCATGTGGCTGCCCTTTTCCAGTGAGACTCCCTCACGAAGTACCTTCAAGGAAACAGCTCACTTTTTATGGTTTTATTTTACAGAAGAGATTGCTGGAAACCATTCAGGGTAAAGTTTAATTTAAATTTGGGGGGGTTCTGATTTGGTAAAATTCATATAGTTTCGACCTGGATGAAGTTGGAGGGGCTCCTTTCCACAAGGAAGCTTCGATAATGCCCTAGACCCTCAGCCTCTGCTTCAAGCACTGTGACCCACCCCACATGCTCAGCTCAGCTCCCCCTAGACCCTCATCCCAGCTGTGGGCATTGTAACCCCCTGAGAGATCTGTGGAGGGTAGTTGAGGCACGCTGTATTGAGGGGCTGGCCTCCTGCCTGGCCCAGGGCCTTTTACAAACCATTTCTTGCAGTTTCACATAAGCTTCATCAATTACTGCTATCTGGCCATGCTTGTCCTGGGCACAGATACCAGCACTCAACAAGGACTTCCCCAGTGGAGTGTCATGTCCATCAGGGGCTTGTACCTAGAGATGTCATAGCCAGGCTCGAAGTTTCAGATGACTCTGGTTTGAGGTCACCAAGGAGTGAGTCCATCAAGAGCTGACCACACAGCCTCCACACTCGCAGACTCCCATGAGCCTGTGCAATTCTTTGAGTGTCTCACAGTTCCTGATGCAAACTCCTGCTCTCCTCGTGGCCAGAACCTGGGCAAGGAATGTATTGCATGGAGACAAGAACGTTGGCCTATCCCTGTGACCCAGCTGTCATGCTATGGGGCCCCTTGCACTTCTACCAGGTGCTGGCGAGCAAAGCACTGACTGTCCCTGGCCCTCCTCTGCGGTGGGCACCAGCACTGCAGACTGTTGCTTCCTGTTCCCCACACTCAACTTGTCCTACAGCTTCAGGAGACCCATTTGGCACTGGGACCTGGTGTATGTGTTCTGTCCTCCTCTACACAGTCATGTGCTGGAGCAGAGTATAAGCTGTGCTCCTGTCCTACCCAGAAGATCCCTTTCTTCCCCATCAGCAAGTCTCAGTGGGTTTCCTAAAGCTCAAAGCCAAAGACATAGCTAACAGTACTGCTTTGCAGTATCTAGCAACTTCTGTTTTGTGAGCTAACTACCAAGTAGTCATTTAAAAGCAGTGCACAGTCAGTGAAAGGAAAACCTGTGTGCCCTAGCTGCCGAGCTACTTAAATCAAGCAATCACACTATACCTGCCACCTCTGACCGTCTTCTATGGTGGCTTTTCTGGGGCACATGTCTCCTATCACAGCAACTTCCAGAAACTCTGCTGTGCTGTGGCCAAATAGGCAATACACAAAGGCAGGGAGTGTGGTGTCATTTTGAAAGGACATTTTATGCAGTAGGGACTGGTGTGTCGGGCATCCTTGTCTATCCCTGCAGCAGGGTCACCACTCTTGGAGGCTCGCTGCAGTGTCCCAGATACCCCAGGCTCAGCCTGGGAGCCGCATCCCTGCAGGAACTCCTCCATTCTGCCCCATCCAGCAGCACATCTGGCATCAGCCCATCACTACTCACAGTAAATGCCTGTGATCTGCCAGATCCCCAGAGACTCCACAGAGCCTGGTGTTCAGATCACACCCATGGGGCCTATGTAATTAACGTTCCCCGAACCTTAACTTGAAATAAGGTAAACATATCCATCTAGGTCTGCCTTGAGGAGGTATCTGAAATACCCACATCAAACAGCATCCTAATTCCAGGCCTGGAAAACAGTCACCTTCGGAGCTGGATATCAAAGCCCCAATCTGATCTGTTGCCTTGCTGAAACCTTCTTTGTATAGGATGGCAAGCACTGCTTCACACCTCTCAGCAGACAGAAGAACAAACTGGTGGGAGTTGGGAGAGGGTGGGAGCAGCCTGGCAGGAGGCACCACAGGAGAAGGCTCCCGTGCAGGCCCTCACAGACCCTTGCAGGGACTGGATAGGCGCCACCCTGGCCACTGAGTGCAGAAATAGGGCTGCCTAGAGAGAGGCCAGTGATTCTCATCTGTCCAGGCCCTGTTTCCAAGTGGTCTGCTCGGATTCCTTAGACAGCCTGTCCTGCGGGGATTTCCTTGTCCCAGATACACGGGCTGGTATAGCCTGTGCCTTCTGAACACCCTGCCATCAATCTTGTTTTATAGCTTTAGGGGAAAGCCAGAGGCAGGATCTCAGCTAAGTGGCGTTGCCAACACTTCCAGTTTATGATCATCTGTTCTCGCCAGCTAATGGGGCTTAATGAACTCATTTTTGCATTTTATTTAAACAAATACACATAGTTACAAGCAACTATCTTCTGTTTACTGTGGAACTTGACCTTCGGAACTTGGGCTTTTCCCAGTTGGATTTTGTAGGCCTGCCTCCAGCTGCAGCCTGGGCTGCAGGTGACGATGCTACCATAGACTCTGTCTTTCCCTATGCGGTTCCCCTCCTCACTGTGCTTGCCCTCCACTTCCTTCACTCCTGCCCCAACTGTAAAGCACACCTGTGTCCCTGGCAGCTGCTGTGGATGCCAGCAGCCCAGTCTGAGAAGCACTGTGGAAGACAAGGTCCTACAGAGTGAGACGGGTGACTTTTGTTACTAGCCGGATGTTACCCATCACCGTCCTGTGATGTTGGCCCTCCGAGAAGCTCTCTTGGCACTGGATGCTCTGGCACCCCCAAACAGATGTGGAACTCCCGTGGACCATGCTGGCACGCTGTGCAGGTCTACATTGTGCTGAAAGTATTTTACTAAGTACAGTAACAACCAAAAAAACTGCATCTGCAGGCAAACCTAGCTCCCAAAGCCAGTTACAGTGAGTGCTGGTGGGCACAGCCTCCTTCCCAGTGTGTCCTGCTCAGGTGTGGTTGCTGCTGAAGGCAGCCGTGGGGAGCCCACAAAAGCTAATGGCTTGGCCCTGCGCACTTTATGGTCGAGGACCCTGACAGAAACAATGCTTTATCAGCCCGCACCCACAGCAAGCACCTTCATCCTTCTAAATTGAGGCCAGAATGAGAAGGAAGCGCTGAACAGGGGCGGCCGCACACCCACCCGCCCAAGTAAATTTCCCACTGCACTCTCATTGTAAATTTCAGTATCTTCCCCTCTCCCTCTAAACTCTGATTTATGAGGGCCAGGATGCAGACAGACAGTCTGTGATTGGATGCACTGCTTTCTTGTAGAGAATTTACTTCAGATCAACAGAAAATTATTTCTGAAGCTTCTGTGGTCGTTAGTCTCAGTTAGGCGGTTGTTCAAAGCAGGTGGGGTGCCAAGCTGAAGGTGCACAGCCCCTGGCTCCAGGCGCCTTCTCCCCCTCCTCTTGCACACCGGAGCCAAATGACAGTTGCTGACTAGAGCTGCTGCGGTCCACCATGCCGTCCACAAAGCAGTGTGAGTGTGGGACAGCTTTCTCCCCCACCACAGGATCATGGTCTTGTCTGTTTGCCCATGGGGAATCATGTGCCATCCTTTATCTCATGTTCCAGCCCAACGTATTCTCTCCGCCCCTGTTTTCCTTGTACCTTCCTAGGCAGGTACAAGCTTGCCCCATTGTCCATTTGGTTTTGGTTTGTGTCTATAACAATCTGAGCGTGTCATGTGATCAATTTTGGTCCCAATAAACCCCAAAAGCACCACACTTACTGAAGATGGTAGAATCACTCTGTCTCAGCCTAAGATTGATGTGATAAACACAATTCTGTGTTTTATAAATTTTAATGGACACAACTTTTAAGCACAATTTCCTGGCAGACAAGGTGGTAGCATTCAACTGGGCCTCCTCTTCCTGCCATTCGGTATGGCTCCTGGGCATCATGTTGTATAGATTTATCAGGCATAACCCAAGCTCAGGGTGGCTTTCAGGTTTGCACAGACACTATAGAGAAGGTGGTTAAGGAGGCTCCTTGGGAGGCGGGGTGCATGGCACCATGGAACAGGCCGGGGTCATCCTGGGCCCTGTTTCATCCTTTGCAAAATGAGGGCGGCCGTGTCCCAATGTCCAAGGTGTTTTGTGTTTATTGCATGAACTAGGGCATGTGACACTCCTAGGACCTTGAAACAACTGACTGGTGTTTGATGTTGTTAGGACTCATTGCCCTGAAGGGTTTTATTCTATTAATTGTGCCATTATTTCCAAACTCAAACTAACCCAAAGGAAGAAGCTGATGGAGAACATCATGACCTTTGTGCTGGTGTGTAGAAGATGAGCAGCATCGATGCAGAGGAGGAGAACAGCATCTGAGACCCAGCGCCAGGGTGGGAGGGAGCAGAGACCAGGGGTCAGCATGGGAGCCAGCCTGTGTCAGTGCTGTGAGGAGGGAAAGGGGGCCAGGGCCAGGGAGACACCCAGGAGGCTGCACTGGAGCCCATGGTCTAGTGGCCCCCTCAGCCACCTGGCCAGTGTCATTCCAGGCTCTCTGCTGCCAGGAGGTGCCAGAGCCAGGCACCCTCTCTGTGCCTTTCACCCTTTGCTGTTCCCAGCTGCTGTACCGCAGACTGGAGTTTCTGCATCAGCTCATCCAGGCCTCCGGGATCTATGATGGCTGTGGGCACAGTGTGCCAGGAGCAGGTTCTAACATTAATTGTCCTTTCAAAATATTAGAGTCCCAAGATACCTTCCTTAAATGCGCGTTCACCTGCAAGTGCAACTTTCTAGCTTTATTTATTGCTTTCATCAGCATGGAAGGAAGCTAAGCTGCGCCCGGTGCTCCAGTGTCGCCCAAGTATCGACCGAAAAGAAGGGAGAGCACGCATTTTCAGCGGTTTTCCTTTGCCCGAGGACCCGCGAGCTCTCTCCATCACTGCTTCCCTCTTTAGAAGACACTTTAAGCGTTCTCTAACCACATAAATGCCCGCCAAGGGGTCGACTCAGGCACTCGTCGAGTATTTTTTCTCTAAGTCCCAAATCACGATGGAATCTGAGGTTGAATAAATTGTGATTATGAGGCCCCGCCGGACTGAACAGAGTACAGGGACAAATTAAATTTTGCTAGGAAAATAGGATATTCAGAAATGGGAGAGGCAGGGCTAGAAGCAAAACTCATGCACACAGGTGAAAAGACACTTTTCTAGGCAAAGCACTTTGCAAACTGCAAGAGTCATCTGTCAGTCTCTTCATAAAGGGAAACATAGAAGTGTTCCACAAATTAGCTGCAGCCCAAGAGCAAGCCCCTGATTTAGGGCCCCAGGTGGTGAAAATAGCAGCTCATAAAAATGGAAATATTGGTGACGTGCATCCATAACTTGAAGAGCAGAGGCTAACAGAGCACAGTGGGTTGGCAATTGTTCTTTATTCCAGGTACCAGCACTAAGGTCACCAAATATCACCCAGATCCAGTCCTCGAGAGGCCCCCGTGTCTTATCCCAAAGAACAAGCCACCCTGGTACGAGAAGGGGCACAGGCGAGCCTTCTGTAGAGCACAAAGGAAGGAGCCCTGACCCGGAGTTCCATTTCAGCAGGCAGTGGGTTCCCCCATGACCTTGCATACCCTGCTGAGCCCCCATCCCCAACTTCTCAAATCTGCCACAGTGACCACATGGCAACTGGACCTGCCCCTCAGCCTGATGGAGGCCCTGACTGGCTCTTGTGTGTCTTTCAGGCTATCGGATTTCCTGGGAGGTGTATGGGAAGAATGATTCTCGACTCACACACACCCTCAACAGCACGACCCATGAATACAAAATCCAAGGTCTGTCATCCCTCACCACCTACACCATCGAGGTGGCTGCAGTGACAGCCGCAGGTGTGGGCCTGGCCACCTCCTCCACCATCTCTTCCGGAGTGCCTCCAGGTCAGTAAGATCCTGGCATGCTCCTCCGGCTCTTGCCTTTCCAGTAGAGGGGAGTGACACTCACAGTCAATGGCCTTTCCATGCAGGAGCTCCCTAGTACCTGAGCCAGGGCAGGGTGTCAGGCGGGGTGTGTGGAGGTAGGTACTGTTGACCCATCTTCTCCCTCACTGTCCAGCACATGTGACATACCTTACTCTTCTCCTGTGAGTGTGTGGCTGTGAGGAAACACACTGGATGGAAAGGAGAGACTTGGACTCCACAAGGCCCAGTGTGGTCTGGAGAACTTGAGCTCCTGACCTCCAAGGCCACTAGCCAGCAACCGCATGGAAGGTAGAAGCCTTTAAGAGAGGGACATAGGAAATACTCAGATTGACACTGAGACTAGGAAGCACAGAGATTTACTCACCCAACTGAACAGTAAGAATTGAGGTTTGCAATAAGAAGGAAGAGGAAGAGGAGGAAACGGCAGAGAAGAAGGGGAAGGGTCTGCCCTGGGCATGAGTGCCCATGCCCAAGCCACCGGGCCACACTTGCTCCTCAGGGCAGGTATGCCTTACACATGTCGTCACGTCCTTTTGAAATTCAGATTATCTCCCTAAATGTCCGCATTCCCAGTTCAACTTTAGAAAATTGCTACTTGACTTATTCCTCTCCAATTTTAAAGTTTATGTTTAAAATGAATGTGTATTTCCAGGGAGTTCACAAATGCACATGAATGTGAGAAAGTACTGCGGAGCGGCGGGTTCAACTCGTAATTATAGCCGCGAGTCTTCTGCCATTTAAAAGATGTCAATTTGCCACATTCAGATCTTTGAGAAAAGTCAGACTGCCTCATTCATAAGGGCTGAAAAGACCTCTGTGAAGCCAGCGTTTGTCCCTAACCCTCTCCCACTTATAGCCAGTCTTCCTAACTGCTTATTTTCCTGTGAAGGTGACATGTATGATTTCAAGAGAGTACAAAACAAATAAGATGTGTGCAGTGAAAAACTCCCACAGGAGCCCACATGTCCCCATCCCTTACCTCTTGGCATGAGGCCACTCTAAAGGAGACACTCAGCCTTGGGTATCAGGGGACTCTGCTGGGTACTGTGTCTCCTGTGTGTGTACTGGAGGAGACCCTTGAGCCCAGGCCACTCTTTGCCATCAGGGGGCGCCTTGACTAAGTCTTTCTGTTTCCCAGTAGACACTGGTCGCCCTCCTAGAAGTGGCCCTCCTACTGCCACATACACCAGATTCATGGGTCATTCATGCCACAGGGAGCCAGGCCCACCCTAAGGGTCTGATTCATGGAGCTGGGTGAGGTTCTAGATACCCCTTTGGGACAAGCTCTCAGCAATATCCCTGCTGCTGGCCAAGTGCTGCACCCAGAGACCCATGAGCTTAAAGCAATTCAGCATTGTTTTAGGTCTTCAATTTGCAGAGAGATTATTTTTTTTTCCATTTATGTTACACAATAGCTAGCTCCCATGTCACATACTAAAAGTATTTAAAGCTACTTCCCAAAGCACATATTTGAAATAGCATTAGTACTTTCACAACAGTAGTAAGGCCAGTGGTATACTGCTCAATTTGTTATAAAGGGCTGTGTACACCAACAGTGGGGAAGGTTGGAACTGCATCTTGTGTGAGTTACCAGGTCTTTCTTAGGATGGCTTGGACACTGTTCATCCCAGGCATGGAATGGGTTTGCTGGCCTGGCCTGCAGAAGGCTCTGCCTCCAGCATTACTGTAGTCCACAGAGTGGAGTGGAGTTAGAGGTAAATGAAGAGCTGACTGTATAAGCCTTTGATAGCCTAGATGAAGGGCTGCTGTTCCACATTTACGGGACAGATCAGTAGTAGTGGGAGAGTGCTTTTAGGCAGGCCTGAGCATTCTGAGTACCAGTGGGAAAAACATCCTGCATTGCCGATCTCTTTTGGGGAACAGTGTTCTGTCTGCTGTGCTTGAGATTTACATCCATTAGTGAGCAAGGAGCCAGTTTTAAAAGCCCAGAGAGCTGAGGAATACAAAGGAGAGTCACTTGTCCTCTGGTTTAAACATTTTCTGCTTCAAATTCATTAAACTAGATGTGAAAGGACCCTTAAAATCCTAGACTCTGCCTGTGCCAATACCAAAATGATTGCCAAAGTGGTTTTATTGTCCCTGGGAAAGACCTACCTTTAAACTCCCGCAGCAGTACAAGTTAGGAAGTCACTCCTCAGGTACACTACAGACAAAAAAGCGGCTCACAACATATTATCTTTTCTTCATTTCATCCCAGGGCCTTTCTCTTGAGTATATCTTATTGCACAATGACATAAACTCTCATATTCAATACCCAGTGTTGCATTTCTGAGCGGAATAGGCTCTTTGGGGGAAAAGACCCCCCCCTAAAAGATCTCTATGAGTAGGTTGAAGCAATAGGAAACCTCAGATGATGAGACCCACCTGCCACCTTATCTCGTTGCCAGAGCAACCAAATACAGGCAGAATGGGAAGAGTTCTGCACTGTCACCTGCATTTGGTTGTCTTGGAAACCAGACCCAAGAAGCCTAAGGCCCAAGACCCGAACCCTTGCTTTGTCATGCTGCCTGGAAACATCACCTTCTCCATCCCAACTTCCAAGGCATCATGGGAACAGTGAGAGGGATGGAAATCCCCAACTCTTGGTGTCACTTCAGCAGCCTCAAGAATTAACATGAATTCATCCAACAAGTACCTATTAATTACCCGTTATGTTCAGAGATGAATAAGGCGTGTGTCTCCTAATGCCACATCAGATGGCCTGCAGCTGTGGGTGACCTGTTAAAGTAAAAGTCATGCTTGCTGATGTCCAGGGGAAGCCCTGCTGCTCATCACTTCCACAGGTTTAAAACAAATCCTTTTTTGAGGATAATATGTTGAAATTGTTTCCTTGCTAACAAGTTTCATACATGCCGTAATTCATGATAGAATTTCACTCTACTTACCTCCTTCATCCTTCTGTAGACCTTCCCGGTGCACCATCCAACCTGGTCATTTCCAACATCAGCCCTCGTTCTGCCACACTTCAGTTCCGACCAGGCTACGATGGAAAGACGTCCATCTCCAGGTGGATTGTGGAGGGGCAGGTATGTGGCTCATAAAACTGAGTGCTGGGCTTTCCAAAGAGCACCCCGAGGACCGTCCTTCAGAGACACGGGAGTGATGCTTCGCCATAGCAAGCACGGGTAGACTGAGGGGTCTGTGAATGAGTAATGCACAGTCTGCCAGTTTCATGTTCCTATAAAAGCAGAGGAAAAGATAAAGAGCCAAATTATGAAGAGGAGTAGTAAAGTTTCAAAATAGTTATTGTCTGTAGTAAAATCCCAGTGACTTTCATGACTATACTTGTACTGGATTGTAAGACAATTCACTTCTGGAAATTGGCCATAAGTTAGAGAATAAGTCCTATATGCATCTCCAAACGTTTCATTAAGCAAATGTTTCTGGAAATCTATGTAGGATCCTCCCAGTGTGAAGCAGCTAAATGGGACTGATCCATAAACGGGGCTGAAACAGTTGTCTATTTAAGAAAAATAACAGTGTCTCCCCACCTCACATCCGGCAAATGAAAACCAAAGTGATGGAAGCAAACTAAAAGTCTTAGAAGAACATGTAGGAAAATAATCACGGTACCTTATGAAAACCAGTTCTAGCACCTAACAGTCTGTCAGCATGAGGAGCCACGCAAGCACTCTAATGACAGCAGAAGTACACGGTGTGTCCTGTGGCTGAGGCACCACTGTGCCAGAGTACCGTGCATACTGGCAGGTCATGCTCCCCACAAGCTTTAGAATTCTCCGCTAAGCCAGGCCAGCCTGCAGAAACACAGAAAGCATACCTCCTTTCCTTCCTCCTTCCTTCCTCCCTCTTTCCCCTCTTCCCTTCTTTTCTCTTGCTAACTATTCTCCTGATTATTATTATGAAGCATAGGTTTTTTAATAGGTCCAGTGTGTTTCAGGTATCAGTAGTCAGTATTCTTTTTAAACTCAAATTCATCCATTTAGCCTGGGAAACTCTTCACATTGTTCAGGCCTCTTAACATGAGGACACTTGTCTTCAATGACTTCTTTGCTTTCTGATACAGCAGGATGTCTTGGGATCCGCTTCCATCTTCCTGCCCAAGCTCCAGCATGGGCCTCGCTTTCCTTTAATGTTCAGTGGTATTTGAAGACAATAACCTGGATGCTGAGGGATACTGGGGTGCATATTCCTACCAGCTGGTCATTGCTTCTCAATTTTTCTAGTAGGCAGAGGAGAAATATATTTTTTGAAAGATGAGTTCAAGCTGACATTTCCAATTCAAATTTAAGATTATTATCCTTGAATTTATATTTTAAATATCATTTCCTTTATACTAAAATTGTGTATTTTAGAAACTCTAACCTAATTACTTAATTTGCCTTATTGTTATATTAAGGGTTTCAAAATTGAAATTCAATAGTATAACGAACAAGAAGACTACTGAATGCAATTTAAAAGTATTTATTCTTAGTATACATACTGAGTTCTAAAGCCACTTCACAGAATTCTTTTCTCCTGTGGTTATGTCACCAATTTAAGACAAAATTATTTTGGTTTTTGCTTTCATTTTTAACAGCTGCTTCCTTTAAAAATTATTTTACTTTTAAAAAGTATTAGAACTGTTAAATTCATTTTCATGGAATTCATTTACATGATCCCAGAATGAAAGCTATTTATAAAAAAGCAATATTCAGGAATTTTATGACATCTTTGTCCCCTTTATTCTGATGCCTCTCTCCCCAGTGATAACCCATGTTTATTAGGTTTTTTTTGTCTATTTTTTGGCAATATAGGCAAATTTACATATTGGCATTTCCCTTTCTTACACGGAATGCTCCCTTCACGTGACAAAGCACTCTTTAGCTCGCTGTGCTTCCCTGTGTGCACACCTTCCTCATCCCTTCCTGGGGTGCACAGGTCTCCCCAGGGCCAGGTGCCTGCTATGGTGCCAGTACTCCATGACAGGTATTTGGGGTTGGGATGCATTTACTGTCACTGCCAAATACCAGGGACCTCACACAACACAAACACATCATCCTACAGTTCTGTAGGTCAGAAACTCAGCGTGAGTTTCATAGGCTAAAGTCAAGCTGTCCAGGGGGCAGTGTCCCTTCAGGAGCTCTAGGACTTTAGCACTTCCTGGCTTACCAGTTGCTAGCAGAATACTGGAATTCCTTGGAGTACTGTAGTTCGTGGAGTCCGTTGTGGTTGTGGGACTGAGGTCCTATTTCCAAGGTGCTTGTCAGCAGGGCTTCCCACCTACTAAAGGCTACCACATTGTGTCCCATGGCCTCTCTTTACCTTCAGAGCCAGCCACAGTGGGCCACAGCCTTCCTTGGCTTCAGCTCTCCTCTTTCCCATCTCTCTTAATCTCCTCCACCTTTAATGACTGTTCTGGATGCTTTGGGCCCACTCAGGCAATCTCCCTATTTTAAGGCCCTTACTTTTAACTGCATCTGCAGTCTTTCCTGCTATGCGAGGTACCATAGTCCTGGTTCCAAGGACTAGAGTATAGACATCTTTTAGGGTCCTCGCTCTACTGAGAGGTAGTTTTCAGCCTTTTGCATGATTGTTTTATATTTCTGCCTCTGTACCTTTGGAGTGACTACAGGAGTGCAGTCACTGGATCAAACAACAACTGTAGAGGGACACTTTCTGGACTTTGTCAAACCTTCTTCTGCAGGTGGTAACATCTTGTTTTCCCACCAGCAATAGGCATATTTTTCCAAGCAAAAAAAAAAAAAGAATTGAAGTCTAACTTATAAATTTTCTTCTTACATGCTTTTGGAGTTTTGAATCATAGATGGGAAGGTTTTCCCCACTTTCATATTATAAAGAAATTCACCCAATTTTCTACTGCTACTTTTATGATTTCATTTTTGCATACAGAACTCCATCCATTTGGAACTTGTCCATATGTGGAGTGAGGTATGAGTCCATTTTATCATTTTGCAAATAGCTATGTAATTGTCTCAATGCCCTTTACTAAAAAGTCCTCTTTTTTTGCCTCTCCCCTCCTGATTTGTAACATTGAATTCTCATATGCACTTGGGTCTATTTCTGAACTTTTAATTCTGTTTTATTAGTCTGGTTATTCATGCACTAATTCTACAATTGTTATTATAAAACTTTAAAATACATTTAAATATCTAGTAATGGTTCCTCAAGCCCCCCCCCAACACACACACACACACACACACACACACACACACACACACACACAGAGCCTGACTTTTTGAGGCTTGTCCTGGTTGCTCAGGAAGGTGACCCTTTCTATCCAGGAGTGTGATACGTCATTTCATTCCTTCAAATCTACTTTTGTCAACTACTTTCTCCTTGCTTGGCAAAGCACTGGGGTGTCTGCCCCTACTTTCTCCCAGCTCTCAAAAGGCAAGAAAAGTGAGAGGTGATCAGTGTACCTCAAAGCTGTCATACAGACAGGTGGGCCTGCCCCCCTCAGCCCCTCTTCCTAGTTCTGGGGTCATGAACATATGTCTTAACTTCTTGGTGATCCTTGTCCTCTTCTGTAAAAGGAGTCAGCAGCACTATCCATAAGGTCATCGTGAGGGTCACTGAACACGTGTATTTGAACTACACTTTCTGCCTTCGTTGCTGGTGTTTGGGAACACAGTTAACTTGTGAATACTTTGCTTATCACTCTTCTATGCTGAATGATCTCACAAACACTAGCACGTGGCCCTCGTAGTGCTTGTCTGGCTGCTGTCACTCCCAGTTCTACAGATGAGACATGAAGGATGGAGTTTCTTGTCCAGGTCATAGCTGGGCTTCCTGCTCAACCTATGGGATGTAGATGGTGCTGCTGGTAGAAACTTTGGCAATGCTATTGTTAGTTTTGCTATTATTTTCTATAAACAACTCACAGGTATTGTGGCACACCCTATAATCCCAACAATCTGGGAGGCTGAGACAGAAAGATTGCAAGTTTGAGCCCAGCCTGGGCAATTTAGTGACTTAATATGACCCTGTCCCAAAATAAAAAATAAAAGAGACTGCAAATGTAGCTCAGTGCAGAGGCCCTGGATTCAATCCCCAGTACTAAAAACACGTACACATGAGCTCACCTTATCTGTTTAATTAATTTTATTGGTACACTTTTGAAATATATAATGGTCATATTTGTCATACAGAATTTGTACCTATAATATATTTTGATTCCTTTTACCCCTATTTTCCTCCCCTCCCTTCAACCCTTCCTTCCCTCCTTATTGACAAAATCTTTGTTTCTATTTTTTCCTTTCTGTTCTTTTTTTCCTTTTCCCTTCCTTCCCTTCTCCCTCTCCCTCCCTTTTTTCCCTTCTCATTTGAACATTTTCTTCCTACTTCACAGTAGCCATCATCCATTTTTGTCCTTATTTACCCTTTTAGTTTCTCACATAAGAGAAACTGTGTTATATTTAAACATGAGAGTAACCATTCTTTTTCTTCATTTGAAATCTTTCTATGCATTCTCTCTCTGCCTGTCTGTCTCTCTGCCTCTGTCTCTGCCTCTGTCTCTGTCTCTCTTTCTGTCTCTGTCTCACTCTGTCTATGTCTCTCTCTTTCTCTCTCTCTCTCTCTCTCTCTCTCTCTCTCTCTCTCTCTCTCTCTCTCTCTCTCTCTCTCTCTCTCTCTCTCTCTCTCCCTCTCAATGTGTGTTACTTAGTTTCTCTTATTGCTGAGACAAACTCAACTGTATTGAGTTAACACCCAAAGGTAAAGGAGGAAAAGTTTATTTGGCTCACAGTTTGTAGAGGTATCAGTCCATAGTCTCTTGGCTCCAATGCAGAACTGCAGGGAAGAGGGGCATTTCAGAGGAGAAACAGTTCATGGCAAGTAGAAGGCAGCAAAGCAGTGAAGGAGTGAGGAAGCAAACAGCAAGTGACAGCAGCAACCCTCTTTCTGTCCCTTTATCCAGGCTACCCGCCTTTAGAGTGGGTAGCACTCATACCCAGTAAGTACCCTCGCAGTATCCGTTCCCAGAACTATGCCAAGCTAATCAATTTAGTAACCACTAATTTAGTAACCACACACCCTTGATCCCAGCATCACACACTTCATTCCAGTA